TGGGGATGCATGAAACAGAGGGACACTTTTTGGGCATGCTTTGTTTGTTTGTTTGTTTGTTTGTTTTCAAAGAATTACAGTCTTTTGCTTTACTCTGTCTTTTGAAGTAGGCTAGTGGTAAAGACCCGTTTGAAAGTCGACAGCTATTTTGATGTTCATCAGGGCTTTGCTGTGCTTCGACCAATAGCTATTCATGTCATTCTGTTCCTGAGCAGTGTCCCGTCCTGTTGTGAAACCATTTCAACCGAAGGAAAGAGATCCCAGGAAAAAGATGAAAACATTGAAAAGGACTTTTGGTCGACAGGAGCTGTCCACGCAAAACATACCTTTTCACGGGTTGAAACAAATCCAACTAACACCTCCCCAAACCAAAGACTCTTGACGAACCAATTTTTGGGCGCTTAGCCCCACGTATGCTTGGGATTTGACCTTTGAGAGTTTTGCAGTATACATTTTCTGTTCTCTTTTCGTATGTATGAGTCGTGCCTTAGTTGCCTTTTTGGGGTGACAAGTGACCAGAACGGATCAAGGCCCCCCCTGTCTTCCGACGAGCGTTCATTCCCGCAGACGAACGGTTCCGCTCGGCGGTTCGGGGGGGCCGTCCCAAACGGTTGAACTACAAAGAACGAAGCCCCCAGCTCTTCCATCCGCCGCTTCCTCTTGTGGATGGCCTATCCAACTCCACCATACTCCATGTCCATCTATAAGGCCTATCCATGCCTTATCCAACTCCAGGCCCAGAAACTCTGCGCTGATGTGCCTTAGCAAAGAAACTGTGACTACATCACCACAACTTCACCAAAGTTCAGGATACTTCTGCTCGTCACGTTCGCTCGCTTCGATGCTTTCACATCGCTATCTGGAAGGTCACCCGCTCGAGCCACCCGACACCCAGAAGCCTCATGACTGGTGTAGCAGATCCACTGCTAGCACTCCTTTGGCAACAAAGAAATCACCATGACATTTGCCGTAGAGCAGCCACGGAGAACGGAACAGTGCCTTGTTCCCATCGTTCCCAAGTCGCCTTGACTCACCACACAGAGCTCCCGCTCGTTGCGACCTCTCCACCATGCTGTGGCAATCCTCAAGACACACTGGTGCAAAGGGTCTTTGGCCCACGACCTCCCTGCAACCCTAAACATGGCAACTGAAGTTCTTCAAACCAGAGGTTTTTTGTTGCCATGATAGTCTGATATACTGTAGTTTGGGTGCATGGCCAATTGAAACTAAAGATCTACGATGCATCCGGGCAACTGTTCAGTGGCCAGGTACGATGAACAGCGCTTGGCACAGGCGCAGCCCAAATTCACAGAGCGCCAAGAGCCATGTAGGCATGTAAGTCTCGTCAAGTGGGGCCATGTAGCCACTTGAAGTTCATCGAGGCCGATAAAAACAGGTACTTCCAAGCGTTCTAAAGCCGAAGGACACACACACACACACAAGGCGCATGAGACGGCTGAAGCCCCTGAAACCCATAGGTGTCTCGAAGGCTTCAACATGACTCCGAAAAAACAGAAGCAGTTCTATGACAATGAGATTTGCCCTCAGGGTATTTGCATGAGTTCCTTGTCTAAGACTGGAGTCCCTAGTGCATGTCACGTGGGCTGGACCAGGAAGTTGGTATCGGCTGTGCATTGAGTGTGGGGACCCAAGCCAAGCATCAAGTAGACGGGCATGAACCAATTGCCCTCTAGTCGACAGACAATATCGACCACCTGGGTGTCAACTACCTGGAAGTCGGCTGCCCAAGTGAGTGAGTGTATTTCGATGTTTGCAAAGATGGATTCCATAGGCAAAGCCGCTGGTCTGATAGGCTTCAATCGTCCTGCAGTGAACGGAGATGTGGACCATGGACCATGGAACGCGAGAGCGTTAGTATATGGGTGTGTTGTGTATTGGAGTGAACCAGCAATGAGTTTTCCCCAAGACATTGTTTCTTGTTCCTAGTAGTAAGGCCAGGAGCCCCGAGTAGCGTCCTTGCTCCTAGTAGCGATGCCAGGAGCCCCTGGTAGCTTCTTGTTCCTAGTAGTAGTGGTCAGGTGATCTAGAGTAAAATATGGATGAACAGGATCTGCAGGAGACGAAACAAAACACTCGTTGAACGCACGTCGTATCCGTGATAAAATCGACATGTGCAGTGGCGATTCTGACATTTCTCTGCGGGGTTTTGACATGCTCCTCCACTTCCCACACACCATTTCCAAACAGCACTCGACAACGTCCATGAGGAGCAAAAAGCAAAAGAAGCAAACACATCAACGTCACCCTTTGTCATGGAAAACGCTCATTTGGATTTTCGTCAGTCTTTCTTGCCATTCTCTCCAACCTTCCTAGTAGGTTCGAGGCCATCGCTGTTAGGTTGGAGGCCATCGCTCTTAGGTTGGAGGCCATTGCTCTTAGGTTGGAGGCCATTCCTAGTAGGGTGGACTAGCTTCTGTTTATCCGCTGGGTTACCCACAGCTTCACCCGGCACAGGAAAATGGTGCAGTTGCTGAGTCCTTGTTCTCCCACGGCAGGCCGGACCCTGGGCTGGCATCTGCATCGACATAGGTAGTGGATCCATGAACCGCCATGGTGGCGTAGTGGAGATTGGTTCTTTCCAAATATGTTGCTGGCATAGTATATACACCGATCCTTTAAAGCCGATCCTTTTTGGATCCGTAAAGCAGAAGCAACATTGTTCTTCGCTGCGCTTGAGCCACTTTGAGGTTGCTGTACGCAGCCTGTTGGTAGGAAAAAACAACGCCTTGAAAGGAGGATACAAGCTGATCATAAACTTATATAGCTGCTCCAATTTTCATGGACCTTTTGCTGTTTTGGTGCACACAATGACTTGATTTGTGTTTACATTTGCCCCTTGAACTGGTGGTCGCATCTGGGATTGCCCAGGACGATCCCTGTCTTATTGGGCCGCTTGAACTTGACGTCGCACTACACCCTTCACGAGCAGGGGAGACTCAGGAGATCTCAGAAGGACTGGATTCTTCGCGTCCAGAAGTCTCCACAAAGATCAGTGGTGTCCTGTGGTGTCGGACAGGTTGGGCGGCCAAACCAGATGAGAGTTTTGGTGCCGACCGGTCACATAATGCTATAAGAACTCGGACAAGAGTGACCCAACCCTGTCGAACTTTGGATGTAGAGAGTCTTCACATTCAGTGGACCCACCAGAGGAGGAATGCGATATGAACGTGGGCTTTCTTGGGGGCGGCTTCCCTGTTGAAGAGCCAATTGTCACGCTTTCACCTTGGAGCAGGCGAAGCGTCAGTGAAGAGCCAGAGGGCCAATACTGACTGGTTCGACGAAAGCAGGGAATGAGGGTGGCTGACCCTCCACTCTAGGGAGTCTCAGGATCCATTTGCCCAGTCTCTACTAAGCACCAGTCAGGACATTGACATCTGTGGGACAAACATGTTTTCTGCGAAAGGGGGCGAAATGCGTATGGACTGGTGGTAGAAGAATCTGTGGCCGGTCTGAGGTCAGGTATCCAAGACACCCAGAGAAGATTCATTTGTACAAACATTAATGTAGTTAGGAGGAACCCTCAAGTGAATCAGCATGAAACCTTCGCATCATGTTATCCTCAGTATGTCACAGGAATATAATGGAATATAGATGTTTACTTGCTCTTCCTTTTTGTGGGTACCACTTGCAGTCCTCTCTACTATCAACGACGCAGAACACCTCCATCTCCTCCAGCCGAGGACCGCCGATTCCCGCCGGACCGAGGCGCCGCACGCCGCTCCGGACGCATTTGCTGAAGTTCCTGCTGAACATCCTCTCCAGGTCCGACCCTGCCGACACGGAGCGACCGGACGATTCGCGTTGGGCGGGCCAAAGGCGGACGGACGCGATGGTGGAGTCGGACTGGTGTGTGTCGGACTGGTGTCTCCGTGCGCCTGAGGAAGTCCGCAACTGGACCCAGTGGAATTCTTGGACTTTGAATGCCATACGAGGGCATGCAAAGCGTGAACATTTTCTGGCAGACTCGTATGGACCCGCGCACAGAGCGTGATGGGTCATCGAGTATTACTGTTGCATATTGTAACTGTTGTACAATCCAGGTGGAATATGGTGGAATAGTCGTCACTTGGGAGATGTTCAACCAGTATGGGGGCAAGGTCATAGGCATATCAGGGTGGCAAGCAAGAGAAAGGGTAGGAAGGAAGTATCGCTGTATTTCACTGCTTCGCCACCAGTTCTTAAGGGCCTTGGAAGCCCTTGTGGTGGCGTTGCGTAGATGCACCCTGGTCTGGCACGACCAGGTATCAGCAACGTGTGGCCACATGTGGGTGATGATTTTCATAGATGTTCAATGATTTTCATAGCTTGACCCTTACTTTTGGCGTCTTAAGAGAAGGTTGGGCAACCTTGCACATTGGACGTCGCTCCTCGATGGTGGCCACGGCCGTTCCAACCCGCAGCACCGGGCTGAGTGATGGAAACCTGATCCATCGAGGCAAGAGAACCCCTCCACAGACGAGCAAGTGGAGCCACGCGCAGCCATCGATTTGGTTTTGAACGTCCAAGGTTAGAGATCATGGTCAATCCCGACATCACATGTCACTGGTGGGGGGGGTAGCCTTCTACACCAGCCTCAGCCAACACTTCTCCCACTTTTTTCATTTCTCCAATGACATCCAGCTACCACAACAAGCAGACACTGGGCAGCTTGTTGATGTCTTGGTTGGTCATAGGGGAGGATGCATTTGGTAGACTCCCCAACTACCTCCAGATACTCCTCAGCAACAAGACACATTGCATTCAACAATCTTTGTGAAGAGCTCTAAGTTTCAGTGTCGCCCTCGCTCGCATTTTAGCTTCCGATCGCCCGGCATGCACAAGAAAGCGCCGTTCAAATTCGAACCCACAGCCATAGAACTCTTCACCCCAGAACCCACAGCAGAACCTACAGCTGAACCCACAGCCAGCGGAGATGCTCCCGACCGGTGAAATCCGCGAACACGGACCCGGGGACGCGAACGTGAACCATCCGCGTCGCCATGGCCCTGAACCAAGAGTTCTGGTTGCAACAGAAGCGGCGTGAGGCCGGTCTACTTCAATTGCCTTCAGGAGAAAGCATTCTCCAACAAGCCACAACATGTGGAACTTGTGTAACTGTTGAACGATTTTCGAGTTCCAACATCTTTTGACAATCTTTCACATCCACCTGCCACAGGCGGAGCGTTTAGGCTTGGCTCCACCGATGGCGCCGGGCCTCACCGGCCCCACGGGCCTCACCGGCCCCATGGGCCCTACGGGCCCTACGGGACCGGTGGCGGGGGGTCCCTATTGAAGGAAGTGAAGCGTTTCTTTTTCAGAAAACCGTATTAGTAGCTTCTTGTTACTACTAGCGGCTAGCGTCCTTGTTACTACTAGTAAGGCACTTGTTACTAGAAGCGATGCACTTGTTCCTAGTAGCGTCCTTGTTCCTTGTATGGACCAAGGAGAACCCTAAGGACCTTGATCAGCGATAGTTCGGCGGGCAATAGGTCAATAGGCCCAATTTTATACCATGGATACTCGGTGAAGACTGCACACGTGGTGCTTGCAACAAAGCAAACTCTGGGTATATACCATGAATTTCTTGGGTTTCCACAAATCGGAAAGAACAGGTCTTGGGCATTCTGGCTCTTTGGGCGGTTGCGACGGCTCCACCGTCCAACCGATCCGAACACCGAGTCGGCCCTCACAGCGGCCCTGAACGGGTTGGGCCGGGGCCTCCGCTCCCGGCGCCGTCCCAAAGGGGGCCAGGTGATCCACTTGGACTTCGGTTGTGGACTCCAACCCACCACCGGTAGGATGTCCAAGAGGTGGGAGAGTAGGGGATCCTACCTACCGAGGTGGTAGGATCCGGTATAGGACCTACCCAGTCGGAGGTCCAATGCCCGATGACCTCATGACCTGACCACCCGCCCCCATGGTCGCTCTGAGGTCGCTCCCCGCCCCATGATGGCCCGGCCGCTCATGCGACCTATGGGGATGCCGGTGGCAGGTGACAGTGGGGGTGGCGTTCGGTGGCGTTCAGCCAACATCTTCAGCCAACATGGAGGGGCGAAGCACTCCCAGTGCACTTTCCTGTTCGAATGATTGGTGAGGCCGTGAGGCCCGCCGCTTTCATCACCGCTGGTGGAACATCCCCCGAACCGCCCTCCGACGTCGGGGTGGTAAGATGTGAGTCCACACAACCGACGGTTGGATCGTGCACGTGCCAACCTCGGACTCACGTGTTTTGTTGGCTGGCCCACCATTGGGAAGAAACATGTACCTGGTGTCCATCAGTGATTGCTCAAGTCTGAGAAAAAGATCAGATCTTTCCCCTATCGACTTTGCAACTGTCTCATGCTTTTTGCTGGACAAATTCCTGCGTCATTGGAGAAGCATAGGCACTTCACATCATATCGATGTCATCTCAATTCTGTGAATCGGGTCAAACATAGCCCCAAGTCGACGGAGGTTCACTCACCAAACAAACCAGACGGAGTTTCACTCAACGAATTCCCCAATGCAGCTAGAAGTTGCACGCGCACTGATCTGAACTACCTTCCATGCGACCCGCCCACATGTTCGACACCAGTCGGAATCCGTTTCCGTCGGCCAATGGAATCCGTCCGAACATCGGCGAGTCATCGCCGGGAAGCTCTTCTCTGTGCCGTTCCGGTGGATCCAACATGGAAGAACCTCCCCAAACAACCCCCCGGCCTGGCCGAGTCAGTGCAGGGTGTCCAGTCGGTGCTGAGCTCGGTTTGGTGCTTCCGCCGGTGCCAGGTGCTGCACTTCAAGCCATGGGCATCCCTTGGATGCCGCCCAAGAGGCGATGCGGATGCCGAATGATGAAGAAACCCTACCTGGTGAGGGCGTGAACGACGCGAGTTTGCGCTGTTGGAATCAGTGACATCAGTAACATCGTTGGAATCAGGTGTGAAGAGGTGTGAGGATGTTGTTTTTTCTCTTCGGAAAGAGATGCATGGGAGTTTATTTAACGAGGTGCCAGTGGGAGGATAGACCAGATGTCACAAATATTGCTTTGATCTAGGGAGATCCTTTGGATTCTAGGTGGTAAGTGAAGTGTTCATGATTGGTCACCGCCTAGATGGCGCAGGTGAGGATTTTCCCCGCAATCTTTGGTGGCAGGGCGACAACACACCGTAAAAACCTTGCCCCCAAGCGCTAGGCAAAGGCTGACTATATAGATGAGCCGTCTCTGGCGTTGCAATTGAATCAGTTCATTCAGTTCATTCTCAGACCAAAAAACATGACTTGGACAGGACATCATTCAATCAATGCCAGACATGAGACATTTGTTGACCACCATTCGACGTACTTGCTCGAGTCGTGGATCGTGGAGGTGATGAAGCGGCAGTTTTGTGAAGAGTAGATCTGAGTCAAGCCATCCTTCTCACCCATTCAACACCTATTCGCCTATTCGATACGGTGTGGCGATCCATTTACAAATCATTCAGCCGAAGACTGTGTTTTTGCCCATCGCTGGGAGGGTCCAACAAGAGCCACTCCCTTTCCAGAACCGAAGTGGACCCATGGCCCCTGGGATGACCATTCCCTCTACAAAACGGGTGGTTTTGAAGTCCTTCCATGACTATTCCAGAAAATGTAAGAACTTCCACGGGGGGTGAGGGGGTTGGATTTTTCATGGATCCTGGCACTGATGATCCACAGTACTACTCTCTCGTGAAGTAAACTTGGGTGTTTGCAGTGATTTATCAAACTGGAATGAAACCACATAATCCTTCTTGCAAGCCATGTCAACTCGTCGATTCTAATTTAGCACCTCTCAGTCGTCGGGCTGCCTGGACTCAAATCGGCGCATCCGGCTCTTGTGATCGATCTTTGAAAGTTCATCAGCCCCCCACGCGATGCGGAAGGCCAGCGATGGCGGCAGCAGCCACCGATCATCAACACAAAGACTGGAACTCGGATGATGAGGAGACGTTTGCAGAAATCTGAGTTAGTTTGTTGATGTTTTTGTTGCTCAACCAACCACGATGCATCCTGAAAAAAACTCTTCAGCAGGTGTTCTGTTTTCATTCGTGTTCCTGGAGCAGTCATACGTAGCAGTCCTGTTTCAATCAAAGCCGACGTTCACAAGAACTGGTGGATGAACTGGTGGATGGTGTACCAAGCCACCACCAGCAACAAGCAGAAAAATCCGGTGATCGTCAATAGATCTCAGGTGATTTCAACCAACAATATAACAACCCATCAATGTGTTTATATATATTATAATATATATATATATTATAATATAGATATATGGTATATTTATATGTGATCTGCTTCAGTCGGAACTCCGACGCACTTGACTTGACGATCCTTCGCAGGAGATCGACGAGTTTGGACGCAAGAAGAGGTTGGGGTGTTCACCGAGACCGTCATTGGGGTCAGGGATCTATGGGTTGTTGCAGATCGATTAGAAGGCAAACGGAACAACCCAGGTGAGCGCTTGAGCGAAAAGGGAGCCAACCGCTTGTGGATCACTCATTCTTGGTCCACAGACAGGTAAATATGCTCTTTTACATTGACTCCCTGACCATCCCTAACATCCATGGTGTAGAATGGTGTGCAGGTTCTAAAGTTCTTGAACCCTCACAGATGGGCTACTTCTCGTTCCGTGTGGCAGGCGGAAGGTGGCCAAAGCGAGCCAGGCGAAGGCCTTGGTGGGAGTTGGGGCGGAAGAGGATGGAGCAGGTGTGTGCATGGTGATGTATGACTGCATGACACGGCCCTGGGATTTATTTCGAGTTCATCAACATGGAGCTTGAAAAGGGCAGCGCGAGTACTGGTAAAGCGGGTATCCTTTCTGAGACCAATCATGGAAGCAGAACCTGACCCTGTGCAACTTTTCATTTATAAGGGAACCCTGCCTCGAGGGATTGCTGGGTTATATAGTTAGCTTTTCGTAGTTTCGCTATAGCAAGTAATTAATCTCGCTGGATTCATCGCACTGGATCAACAACATCGCATGAGAACTTTGCTCAAAGTAGGACAAAGGCAAATCAAAAGCATCCGAAGCCAACCCCAAAAGTTGCACAATGTTGCATTATATTTAGTTCCTCTGATGGTCGGCCAATCCAAGGTGAGGAAGACTCAGAGACGTCTATGGCTCCCAGCTCTAGCAGACATGACATGGAGCTGCTTTTCAGTGTGATCGTGGAACAACATCCATAGACGAAGGACCCTTGAAGGCTCACGAAGACGATGTCCCTCCATTATTAATAATACTATATATATAGTTTCATGATGTCCATCACTTTTAATCAGTTTAATCAGGAACAAGTTGTGGTGGCCCCAAAGAACATCAAAGGTCACACTGGCAATGACTGGTAGGAATATCCCTGTGACAACTAGTGGCCACCCCGCGACGTGATTTTTCCTGTCATGAGCTTGAAGTCAAGTATCACCAAACAATTTTTCCCTGTTCATGTTTTTCCCCAATGGCGGTGCCCAAGCTGGTCGTCTTCGACTTGGATGCTTGCTGTTGGTATCCAGAGATGTACATGCTCAGACGAGGCACAGGGGAACGAGAGGATCGGAGGGATTGTGCAAAAGGCCCAGGAGGAATCGGAGTTGTTTTGGTGCCCCACTTGCACCTTCAGGGCCCCACTTGTGACGAGTCAAATGCCGTGTGATATGTCAGTGATATTCAGGGATCATGTAATTATCATGGTAGCCTGGAGGGGATCGTTTAAGGGACTACAATATGAAAGTTAAAAAAGAATACACATAAATAGAAGATATGTTGATTGTCCATAGCTTTTGGTTTTTCCATTTTCCACAATTTGCTCCAGCCGTGGCAGCATTTATCTGTTGCAGGATGCACCCGCTGCCGTAGTCGTCAATGGTAGAAGACCTGCTGCAGTAGGCTTCCCACCTATATGTAAGGGTAGTGCTTTCTATGCAATGTCCGTGGCTCATGTGGCAATTCAACTTTCAATGCTAAAGGCCTAAAGTTTTGGATGATTGGGGAGACACCAATCCTAATCATTGTAAGGTTCCTCAAATTGGCTTGGGGCAAAAGCTATATTTCTATATATGCATCCGCATGGTAAACAGATATGCTGTTGAGGAAGCCCTTTGGAACCAGCATGAACTACCTGCAGGTCTAGTTTTGACACACCACATCCTATTCCTGACCATCGCCAGCCCATTTAGTGGGCCCTCATGTGCAAGGCAGCTCCAACAATGTACAACATCTCCACAAAGAGCTCCAACAATGTGCGGCCTCTTTAAACATCTTTAAACCATATTCAAGACCGGCACAGCTTTCTTTCCTAATGGACGCGCTTGCGGGTCGGTTTAAGATCCATGCACAGTGACAGGAGCGCCCTTCGCGGCCACCAGCGATCCCAATGTGCTGATGACGTGTGGCAAGGAGAAGGTGCGTTTGCTGGGCGACGTGCGGAACATCTGGAAGGAGACCGCGTTTCGGTCGAGTCCGAGAGCGGGTCCGAGAACGGAAGAGACAGAGGAGACGGAAAAGGGAAAAGGGAGGCGTCGAGAGGCGGAGGGAATCGAACCCCGCCAGACCATTCCATGTATGGAAGAGTTACTTTCTGTTACTTGCATTAGAGTCATACCGGAGTAGATGTATGTCAGATATCTGTATATTCACCTGGATGTCCTGGGAAAGGCCCTTTCGCTATCGCTCGGCAGAGACCGGGGTTCTCGGACCGGGTTTCGGGGTCCAAGACGTCACCGGTCGGAAGCGACCGATCAGTCTCCGCTCTCCACCGAGAAGTCCCAATGAACAGTTTCCATCGTGTTTACCAGACATTGGGGGGGGTGATGGGTGATTTGATGAGCCCTATACCCATTGGATGGACTGACGACGAAGTATACAGGATGCGCAGGATGTTGTTCTTCGTTTTGGATTCTTGAGATGGTTTTCGGGCTATTCTCATCCACAAAGGATTCCCACCTAAAGGCACCACCTAACTGTGATAAACTGTGTGTTCTTTTTCTTGCGTTACATGCCTTCACATCAGAGAAGATCCACCTGCTTCGCTGTCCTGGTGGAAGTTGCTGATGCAGAATCCCACCTCATCGCTGCACATCGAAATCTGGAATGCTACATGGGTCAACAAGAAGAAGCAGTCAATCTCCTTCGAACCCACCTTCTGTTCGGTCCCGTCGCCTCGTCCACCCAAGGTCCCGCCGCTCCCCGTGTGCCCCAGGAGCTTCACTCCTCGGAGATGTTTCAGTCCACCCGCGTGGGTGTGGCCTCACGCTGTGATGAGCCTGAATGGGGCCGTGAGTGCCTGAAGAAGTTCATGGTTGAGGACAGACGATGCGCTGCTGCTTGCGTCATGTCTGTAGAATGGTGGCGGGAGATCCGAAGTCGAAGTGAAGTGAGCTGCTATGAGGGCGGTTGACCGCCACTTTAAAGTCTGGACTGCTTTTCTTGTCATTGTATTCAGTTGGGATAGGAGGATTCCACGTGGGCGAGCAAACTTGAACAGCAAGCAGACATGTATACAATTGCTATATTACTTTCAATGCTGGGAGATGTCCTGAGAGTCTTTCGCATCTTCAGCCGTTCAGAAAAAACAGTGGTTTCAGAGCTTTGATGGCACAAGTTACCCCAAGTTTGGTGGATATGGATCCTCATCCGTCGACATTTTGGGGTGCCAGTTGCCATCGAACCTCTGATGACCGGTGTTTAGACATCCTTCGCAGAAGGACGCCGTCGCAGCGACAGTTTTTTGCGAGGAGGGCGTCTCGATGTGGGACGTGGCCGAAAAAGGACACTTGGTGGAGATCTTCAAGTCGAGCACCGGAGCTCAGTGCGGACGAAGACGTAGATGCAGATGACGAGAGAAATAGCCTGTGAGGTGCCAGCTGAGATGTCAGGGCTTGTGTTACTTTTTGTTAAAAGTGTTTATTGACCAAGGTGATGTCGTGGGCATCGCGACACGCCGAACGACCAAGCGCCAAACGGCATCTCGGTAAGGCAAGCAAGAGCATTTCCGAAGGCTGGCGGCGAAGACTGGAGTGGCCTTTGAGGAGCCGCTGTTTTTTTGGAAACTCGATGAGTCGGGAAGCCAAGAGATAGGGAAGAATACTCGTATGGATTCATAAATGCATGGGCAGTAGGTATATACAACTTATAACACTCTATATGTGATACATAATATTATATGATAATATGTAATGTAATATGTCGTATTAATATCATCTCACAGGATTTGGATCCTTGGATCCATTGGACCATTTTGGTTTGTTTGGGTTTATGACTGTCATCTCAAGGGTGTATCTTGAAATACGGATAGCTATCATACATAACGCCAGCATCAACCACTGGTAAATAATGTAAAAGGGACAAGGGAACAAAAACCTCTTATCTTATTGGTTAAATTATGTTAAGTTAGGTTGTGTCGGTCTTCCCACGTTGAGACGTACCCAACTAGATCAATTTAATCGCCAATGAAACCAGTTTTTTCACAGGAGAGAGCGACGGAAGACGACAGTGTCGCTAGGAAATGCTCTTCTTCGACGATGATCCATACAACATTCAGGATTTTCTTTGGTGGTCGCGTCGCAGTTCTTCAAGCTGGCTCGGCGCGTTTGCATTTGAAGTTTTCCCAGGACAACAAAGATGGATAAAGATGGTAGTTTCCACGATTCTTCAAGGTCAAAGCCTTTCTCAGAGTGACCAGTGTTGTTCTAATCATGGTTTCTTGTGCCCTGGGCCATATTCTGGTCCCTTTCTTTCGATGTGGGGGAAGCTGTGAGATTCAGGGCAGTTCAGAATGACTTCGCAATACAAGAGCTATCTGAGATTCACCCGCAACACTGCACATGTCATTGCAGTTCCCACAAAATGAGCTGCGTCGATATCACACAACCAAACTTTCTGTCATGAGAACATGACACTTCTTTCTGCAGTTGTATTTTTGGAACAGACCCAGAACAGCGGCAGATCTGTCGAGCTTGGAATCCGTTCGCATGTTCTTTTAGCCTCGGCAGCTGACTCACCTGGCAAAGGACACCTCTGGACAGATACACATATATATATAATCATATATATATACACACATATTAAGCGTCACAGCCGATCTTAGTAAAGATGCATATACGGATTGCATCAGATTGCCAAGGACAGCAAAAGGCATGTTGTTTGCTTGTTGCTGTCTAGGAAAGTGCTTAGAATAATCTAAATGTGTTTTGATGCCCTTTGCCTTGAGTGTTGGAAGCTTAGCATCATTCAAGTCCTCCAACGCATCGGAGACCATGAGATCAATTTTACAAGGGTGATCATCCGGATTGGGCAGTTCACAGTGTTTAGAGTCGTCATCTAGCTGGCCCTTGAAGAAGCTAGTGTATGCTGGCTCAATCCTTTTCACTAAGGTACCTAGATCCACGTGGGACTGGTTTCTATAGTCAAGGCTGCAATACTTGCTAATTGCAGTGGCCCTCGCTCCCATATTATATATATAGGTGCTTTACCGGATAGCTTCTATAGCGAGCAAATCGTAGCCTGCAAGAGATCCTCAATACCGTGCTTGCCTCTAAAAGAACTCAACATACCAGCAGTTCCAAAGGAATATGTTTAAATTCCCTTTTTGGAGTGGAAAATGGGCACCCCTGTCCTTTTATAGGTACCCCTTTCCAGCGGTGCCGCTTCCGTCCTTCCGTCAGGACGTCTCCCGTTTGGGGGTCACCTGTGTGGAGACACCAGACGGTGTGACGCCCGAGGCTTGGGAGGAAGGCGTGGGGATTTCACCACGTGGCGGAGAGCGGAGAACTGATGCGAAGCATCCCAGCTGGCAAGCGATTTGACATATACAACACACACTCTTTCATCACACTTATAAAGTGTTTGTTTGTGTTACGATGTGTAGAATCAGTTTAGATCTTATAAGCTGGCAAGCTTTTGAAGTCTTATAAGATCATTTTGCTGAAGAAGCCCAGCAATTCGTTCTGTGCGAGGTTTACAGCTCCATGCACTGCGGCATGACGGAGGAGGGGTTTGGGCCTCAGATTTCCCGGATTGGCCGGTGGCAGCACCGGATGCTCAGCCTGAGCTATGTGGCATGAACAGTAGACCGCTGCAAGATGATTATTGTCTACACGCCTAAGGAGAAGTTCTTTTGGGGCGCCGGGAGTGATTCCTGTGTGGAAAGGATTTCAACCACTTCAGAAAATCCAAGGCTCCGCCAGAGAAGAAAACCGCGAAGGGCGTGAAGCGCCGCTGAAAACGGACGCGTGCTGAAACCGCTGTTTGAAGGAGTTGAGAAAGCCGAGAAAGTGGAGGGAACCTGATGTTGAGTTGTTTGGTGCAATCAATTGGTCAAACCCACCACTGACCCAGAATGGAGAGGTGCCTATATTGGAAGGACTCTAACAGGTGTCCAATCTCAGCTACCCACAACCGCAGAAGAATTTTTAGCTTCTAGGCAGTGATATGAATAAAAAACATCACACAGTGGCAGTCCGGTTGATTTGTAGAGTTCCCACCTTCTAGAATTCACAAACCCTGCATTGATGCATACCTACGATCTCGGAGTGTGTCAGACATGCACATGTACGTATCATTCTCCGATCTCCGTGTGTTCTTTTTCAGGCCTCTTCAGATTCAACTCCCACCGTGGTGCCCAACGTCCATCGGTCGCAGCACACAATGAGAACACAAGTCGACTCGGCCGGCCGAGTGAGTTCGTCGACTCGGGTTACAGGTGGAACACAGAGAGTTCGTCGACTCGGGTCGGGGAAGAAGTTGTTTTGAGCATTTTGGGAAAGATTAAGACCTCTTGAACTTCTACTTCTTCAATGTGCTTATGCCTGCACATTCTTAGAACCCACCCTCCCTGAGCTACCCATCGAAGGGATTGGATGAAGCTTTTAGTAGGTGATTGCCGGTGTAAGTTTCCGTTTAGATTCAAAAGAGAGATCACCCTGACAATGAAGAGAATGAAGAGACCAAGGCTGTTCGCCTTGTCTTTGGATTTGGGCCATGGCTTTTCTCGATTTGTTATGTCGACAATCCTTTGGGATGTCTTGTGGAGACAGGCGTCCAAAGAAGAGTCGGACGGCAAAGATAGCAAAGACGGAAAGGAACACAAGGAGCACAAGGAGCAACGATGGATTCAGCGAGAAGATGTGGCGGCTGGACCTGAAATCCTTGTCATACCAGTTAGGTTTTTGGCTTTCATCAGGGTGTTTGATTTGACCAATATATGTTCCAACATTTCTCCAACCTCTTGCCATTCTATGTTCCCGCATGTTCCCGGTGTTCTGATGGATGTTCCTTGAGAACAAATTCTACTACTCTCCTTGGAACCAACATGGAAGTGGAGTTCACCCCCTGTTTGGTCCCCGGGCAGGGTCATTCTTTTCCTGGCCATGCCATCCACCTAACCATCTAAAAAAATCAACGTTCGAGGAAATGCTATCTATAGGAACCGCCATTTTCGCTCTGGAAGTGCCTCTGGAAGGGCTTCTCCCCCTTCTCCCGTCATGATCAGCAGGACTCCGCCATGATCGGCAGTTCCAAGCTTTCGGAGAAGCAGCGCCTCGGGCAAAAGGGCCGCGACAGCGGGGGCCACCGTGTGAAACAAAATCGCGTTTGGTCCGTCTTCCACCGGGGGGGGGGTAGAGGACGCTACTAGGAGCAAAGGGCATCGCTACTAGGAGCAAGAACGCTACTAGGGGCTCCTGGCCTTAGTACTAGGAGCAAGAAGCTACTAGTAGCTTTGTTCGGAGCAATCGACGTCTTGGCCGCCATGGTCGATAGGCCATGGGCCAGGGTCACCACTTTTTTCGGGTTCCGATTGCAAGGGAACTGTGCTTAGTGGACGAAGGGAAGCCCGACCCCTCCCAACCCATCCGAACTTCGGTCCAGGCATGGAATCAGTGTTCTTCTCTTCCTTCGGTGACGATCGTTTATCTTTGTCTTTCCTCATTGAAAAGAAAACATCTTCGACAGATTCGGACAGGATCTCATGAACTTAGTTAAGAAGAACAACAATGGAAGCACGAACTCTCGCCATCTTTACCCAAGCTTCCAAACTGGTGGATAGAGCTGAACTATATTTCAGGGTGAGCCCCGTATCCTCGAAGCTTCAGAAACCACCTTCACCAAGTTGGATAAGTTGGACTTATATAATAAGTTGAAGCAAGTCGAGTTCCTCAAACAATAAGGATGGACCTCACCAAAAATGATTTCTCCATTTGGTGGTTTTTCTCTCCCCAAAACTGGAAAACCAAGTCGCTCCACTCCGGTCGTTCACTCCGGTCGCTCCAGGAAGGCCGCCTTGGAGCGGCTCCGGGAGCGCGCACTGAAGCCACCTCCGTGGCGAAAGCCCAGAGAAACGGAGCGGGACACCGGAGGAATCCATCACTTGGGAGAGAGATCGAGGCCCCCAAAAAGGTCAAGGATCTCATTCTACTGGATGTGGTCAGAGGAACTTCAGTTCTTTTAACGTGTTTTTACTGGATCACTTGGACTGATGGACGGATACAAAGGGCACATGTTCAAAGCCCAATCTGGGTTGAAGAAACAGATGTTTTTGTCTTCAAGCTGAACAAGGAATTTCATTGATTAATTAATGCTTGCCGGATTTAGATGCATACTGCATACTCAAGTAACCTGAAGATGGAAAAGCACGATGCAGGACGATTGACCAATATTCAAAAAGGCTATTCGGTTGGAGGCCATCGCCATCAGGGTTGGAGGCCATTGCTTTTAGCTTGTGACGCCTCGCGACGCCTTGCGACGCCTCTGAAGCCACCAGAACATCTTGTTAGTCGCTGTCCTCATCGAGGCGGGGACCGATGGGGGCAAGAGCATCGCTCCAAGGCCTAAGGAGGAACCCAAAGAGGAGAAACCCAAGACTGAAGGCGCGGCATTGGGCTTTTTGGGCGAGAAGAGATGGGAAAAGGGTAGGTAGGTACGGGTTCTGAACGAGGTAGGTACTTACCCTTTTGATCCCTTTTGACCTTTGGAATAGTTGGCATTCCCAAACTAGTGTGACCCAGGTTCTAGGTCCATAGTATAGATAGGGGAGCATGGTGACCAACGCAAGCGCTGCTTCGCTTCCGGAAGAGCAACAATCATATAGGATGAGTCACCTGCACGTTCTCCTTGATTCACCCTGAGTCAAAGCTTCGGAACCTCTAAAGCGTCTGACTGGCGGTTCCAACAGATGACATGAAGCAACATGAAGCAACAACTCTGCAGAACTTTATAGGTTTGGGGATCCTTTTTCTGGTTCCACGACTTCTTCTGGATGCCAGTCTGAGCTCAACTCATCTCATCCGTGTGGGTTCTAGATTTGACTTGAAAACAGGACAGCCGAACTGAGGCACGAACTCCAAAGGAAGGGTTTTTAGTCCCCAAGCGAGTGAATCATGGGCATCCCTGTCCAACACATCCCTTTGTAACTGCTGGTAATTGGTCTTGTTCTTTCCTGGAAGTGCGAGGTATTTTGAATGTCTCTGCAAACACAGAACTTGCAACTTTACATCACTTTACCTTTGCAGAGGAACCTCAGAAGACGGGGATGCAGATCGCCCACAGAGAACACTCACGCTCGCCCAATCGCTGCTGTGGCTGAAGCTAGACAGTCATCCATCGGGACAGAGATCGTTTAGCGCATTCGCGAGGGATGCCTGGCTGAAGGGCGTGGGGGGACGCTGGGAGATTCAGGGAGACCCCAGTGCCCCGGGAGTAGAACAAACAGTAAACGGCCCGTTTAAAGGCCCTTGACTCCATTATAGTAAGGCCCCTTTAAAGGCACTCAGGCACTCTGTGCTTTCCTTGCTTCAACAGTGGGATGTTCACTGGGTGTTTTGCCGGTCGTTCTTTGCTGCGAGACACAAAGGCCTAAGGCCGCCCCTTTTCGCCGGTCATGATAAATCCTGCTGTAGCTCATACCTCAGACATTCGATCACATGTAAAATGCGAGTAATAGTGTCTAAGCAGGCACATCCAATGTTCCACTGAGTCTTAATGTTCTCCAATGAGGATCAAGCCCCAAAAGGCACCCCTCGCTTGCCCCCCTGCGCTTGGAGAAAAACATTCTTTCTCATCCATGTCCGAGTGAATTTTGGCCAGTGGGAGGGCCCAACAAACAAGAACTCTCAAGACTCAACATATATTACAACTAGGAACAAGAAGCTACTAGGAGCAAGGGCATCGCTACTAGGGGCAACAGGCATTTCTACTAGTAGCAAATTAGCGTAGTAGCGTCAACCTGCAACCTGGAGGGAGGGTCTGGCAGGGTGAACACCGGAGAGATGGATGAGCTGGAAGGTCTTTGGAGGCCATTCATGGACTTTCTGTTCGACTTCCATGCAGAACTGATGTCTCCAGCAAGGTTCTCTCAAAAACACGGTTTTTTCTTTTTTTTTTGCGTTGCATGTTCGCCTAGCAGTTCATCGTTATCCATACAGATTCCTCTGCCCTCCAAATCCCACTGGCTGAGGCCTTCGCCTTGTTCAACCTGAGCTATTTCAACCGGCATCCCTCTACCATCTTTACTACCATCTCTACATCTATCCACCCACTTGGGGACCTGTCCCCTTGACCCTTACCGAGGGAGACAGAGACCCACCGCGGCTGGAGGATGCTGAAGGTCTGTCTTGGGCTCGTCGCCTTCCACGTGAAGGCGAGGTCGCCAGTCATGAGCCTTGCGCCTTGACACGTGCCCTGAGAGAAGGACAGAATATGACAGAAAATCGGAAATCGTATGCTGCAAATTCGTCTGTTATATTCTGTGTTATTTTTGTAATAGTGTCGTCCTTCTGCGGCGTTGACTGTCCAAAAAAAAATCCCTTGTATAATATTATAATCCTTTATATATATGTCCTGTGTAGAACTCATGCGGGTCATGCGCATCATCTGAAAGTCTTGGAAGTCGATTCCATGGATTATTTTTTCAGGAGTCACATGTCGCGGTGGTGTTTAGTCCCATCCAGTGGATGTGACAGGGGCACCCAACTCCTTCCTCCGTTCCTTCAACACCCTGGGAGAACGTGACTCCGAGCACGGCGATTGCCGGAGGCCCTGAACTTTGACGATTACCTCCAGCGATATGGCAAGGCCCGCCAGCAAGAAAAGGGGCCCAAGCGGGCCCACGGCGGACCAGGTGTGCCTGGTGTGTAAACACAAGGAGGCCCACCCCCAAAACCCTGAGACCACGAAGCCCAAAAAAGCCCAAGAAACCCGGCAGGATCTGAGTCCAGAAAGACCCGGGCGGCGCCGTGGTTTGCCATGGTTTTCTGCGGTTCCGTGGGATGAAGGCCCGAGTCCATCGACCCAGCTACTGCGGGCCTTTGCTTTGTATGTTTGTTTTCATGTGTATGATTAGATGTTCATAGATGTTCGGTGTTACATTCGAGGCTTAGTGGGTCGCGAAGTCACTCGTTTCGCGTCAAAGTATCAGCGTCGAGCGAAGCGTCGCTGTGTTGAAGCAGAACTCTGTCGGTGGAGAGGTCACTCCCCTCTTCGTCCTGTCAGGACTATGACGACCCAGAGGAGCCACTTGGAGAGCACGAGTCGAGCACGAGTCGAGTCGAGTCAGGCAGACTGGGTGTTTTTCTGTTTTCTAATAGGATCTATAGGGAGACCCTCAACATCCCCCTACCAATGGGTAGACTGGTCAATTGTGCTTCTTCCAGAGGGTCCAACTAGGATAACTAGGAGTTTAAATACACACTCATTGGTCCTCGGTGTGGCCCTTCTTGGGCCCTTCAAATGGAGCGTAACCCGAATGAACTGGGTGGCCAGCGGAACCCGTGCACCATTGATGTACAGGTTTGTTTCAAGGTTGCCACTGCTTGACCACCATGAAAAGCATCGTTGTCAAATCATGGGGTCACAAAATGTACGAAACCACCCCCCTCCCCTTTGTGGAGATAGACTGGGCGATGTCAGAATTTTCTCGTGGGTCTGCCAGGTATGCGTACCGCAAGGCTCTCTTCGATCAGCGGGCCGCACGGATTGACGCCCAGAACGCCATGGGTACGTGGAAAGCAGGCGAGACGCGTCGGCATTCGACACGCGATCGTGTGGACCGCGTCGGGCCGCATGGGGCATCTGGGGTGTTCATAGGCACTTTGGTTTTTGGAATGGTTTGGACTTGAAAAGGAAATACGGTCTGATCGAGGACAATGACAGGTGTACGGTGTACGTGCACTTGCTTTGCCCGTCCTTGTCCATGTTCCAACCAAAAGATGGAGCCTCCGCCGACGGTGAGGCTTCAACGACTTCACAGATGCAACGCCAGAGGAGCTGAAACGGATGATGGGCTACCGCAAGGAGAGGGATTCGGAGGTCGGTTCTGGTCGTCTCGAGGACGGTCGAAGCGAGCGGTGAACACTTGTGTTGTTTTTTCCATTTCGGAGTCCTGACACGAATTTTGAATGTTTCTCATGTCTTTGATACCATAAGGCTTTGATTCCTCACTTTTCCTGAATGTTGGAGCAGGTTTGGAAAGGATGTGCACTGGGAGGGCAGGTATCGGGTACATCGCCATGGATTCTTTTATGAATTTTCGTTCGTTGACCGTCTCACCAGAGTCGCTGGGCATGTCTCGGACGAACCCGAAGGCGAATTGACAAGATGTCTCCTAGTAGCGATGCCCTTTGCTATCCTTTGCTCCTAGTAGCTTCTTGCTCCTAGTAGTAAGGCCAGGAGCCCCTAGTAGCGTCCTTGCTCCTAGTAGCGATGCCCTTTTCTCTTTCAACACTTTTTAAGCATCTTTTAAGTAAGTCGAAGGTTGTGGGCATCGAGGGACAACCATGCATAAACTGCTTCCAGGATACCACCGTGTCACATGCACATACCGCGGCTTTGCGTATCGCTTTCAGGAGCTGCGTGGTGCAGTGTCGTCACAGGCGAGTGTCGACACCATGGACACCTGCAAGATCCTGCAATGTTTGCTTATCTTTGCTTCATCCCTCCAGAAACACCGGCTCATCTAACAACCATCCTTCAATTCAACTTCTTAGAATGAGTTGCCCCAAGCTTTAAGCTTCAAAGCACATGAAAAAAAACACGCCCAAACCGCACGGAGATGGGGAACGCTCATCCTCATCCTCTCGCGTCTTCGGAGCGAGGCCGGTACCCCACGGCTGAAAGCGGCCAGGCGCCGTGGACGGGTCCACCGGTGGTGCTCGGGTCGTGACCACGCAAAGCCCGGTGGTGCCGTGGACGCGACCTGGTATTTCCTGCTGACATGAGACATGGAATTGTTCAATTGAAGATGAAGGGATGATGAAGATGGAGTCCAAACTTCATTCATGCAAGATTGTAAGATATTCTGACTGGTGCTTTGATGCCTTGACCTTGAAGGTGTTCAGATGTGTTCAGAGTGGCCGGCACTCAGGGTATCCCATGAGGAACGAATCAAGGTGAATGCCCCCTAGGTGTATAGGGCTGATGGGCTGGAATTTATATATATACCAGACCTTGAATGTGCCAGAAAGATGTCATTGAACAACTCACGTGGCGGATTTCTGACCCTGAATGGCTAAAAACGGCTGGTCGAGCAAGAGCGGATTGCATGGGGCCCCCTAGACCCCAGTCGTCTTTTTTGTTGGGCCTCTCTTCCAATTCGCTACTCATCCCTACCTAACGGTCTTCTACCCATAGACCCACAGTAGTATATTATTTATTATTATTTATATTAGCAATTGGCTGCAGTCGGTGAACACGGTGATTTCCTGAATCCTGGTGTTGGAGTTGGAGCTGTCCAAAAACCTCCAGCCTCAAAAAAAGGGGTTCTGGGCTTCCAGACCGGCTTCCAGACCGGCCCCCTCACCAGGGCGAAGCCCAAGTTTCCCAAGAACTTGGACTGGCGGGAGCGCACTCCCAGCGTGGTGTCCCCTGTGAAGAGCGCCTTTGGCCACACTCAGTTGGTGGGTGTCGGGTTGGGTGTCGGTTCGTCCATTCGGGTGGGTTGGAAGGGAAGAGGGAAAGGGCAAGGAAGAGCGAAGGGAAGTTGAAATGTTAGTGCTTGGGAAGAATTGCCAGAATGCTTTTAGCCGATCATATTTGTATGGCTGATGTCAAAAGGGTAGAAAGGGTTTCTGTTCTTGATGCAAGTTGACTTCAGTTCTTTCCTACTCTTGGCATGGAAAGAAGCATATACCAGAAGAAGGGTTAGTAATTAAGTAGGATAAGGCAAAAGCAGTTGTCCTTCTTCTTCTTTTTTCTTAATATATGATATGTTAATATTCGTGTTCTTTGTCTTTTTCTTCTTCTTTTTCTTCTTCTTCTTTTTCTTCTTCTTCTTCTTCTTCTTCTCTTACTTGGACGTTTATGAAATGCGTGTTCTGGAGTATGAATTGAGATCCAGGTAGTCATTTCATAAGCAGATCACACTGGAAAACAAACATGGAATTATGTTGAGATTCTGACATCTCTGTGGGACAGAACAAAAAACTCGTTTCATAAACATTCACAATCTCAAGAGCCAAAACAAAAACACACTTAGTCTGAACCTGGAGACGGTCATTTTATAAACAACAAGTGTTTTTCATTTGTTCAAGCTTGAGCATGCTCTTTGTGTTACCCCGGGCCGCAGACTTCTGGTTGCCCCGACGACGATCCTGGAAAAAGCAACCGGGCCACAGACTTCCGATTGCTTTTTCCCGACCTTGGAAGAAGCAACCGGGCCACAGACTTCCGGTTGTTTTTTTTCCTGACGACGCTGGAAAAAGCAACCGGGACACAGACTTCTGGTTACTTTGCATACTTGTCGATATCGTTTCAACAAATATTGTGTCTTTTTCCTTTGTGTTTGGGTCAGACTTCCAAGTCTCAGGCTGAGGTTTCCCCTTTTTCGCAGCTTCTGCTTGCCGGAGACATAGCTAGAAGATGGTGAAAGACTGCAGCAAAGAATGCTGAAGAAAAAGTTTGCTCTCTTGTGTATATATGCTGCCTGTTGGGGACGCATTTTTTAAATATGTGGGGCTTTCTTTTTCTGAGGTCATCTGATGCTGGAGCAGGTCATTTGATAAACCTTATGTTGGTGCCAGACTATTGTGCCAATGTTCGATAAATTGGTTGGAGAAGTCATTTTATAAGCCTCATGGAGCCGGCACAGGTGATCGTTTCAGAAACAGGCATGCGGGGGAAATCTGAGGAATGTTTTCATAAATCGTTTTGTCTATGAAGTGAATGTCCACAGCCCAGTTTCCAAGTAAGGGGTATGTTTCGACTACAAGGAGCATGCGGCAGTTGGTCCCGATCCCGGAGCACATCCTCACGAAGTACTTCCCAAAAAGATCTCTTTTGCAAACACTGCTGGCGCTTCTTCAACACCAAGACCGACAAAAAGAGGTGCCCACAGAAACATCAAAAACCTATCCGGACGAACGGAAAACACCGCTCTTAGTGGCCTCCCTCCGACAACATGGAGATGCTTCCGAAATCGCCGCCCTGCTCAACACCACAACCGATGAACTGGACAAGCATTATGGCCTCCACAACTTTACACCACCATCTCCTTGACTATATCCGCTTACACACCACAATCTGCAAAACACCACACTCTCACACAACCCTCGCAATTCCACATGCATTGGAGAAGCCACAAATCCGGGTCCACGAATCCGACATCACGACCCGACACACTGTATGACCATCAACCCATCAACATCGATGGCATTATGACACACCTTTGGACACTTCTTTGTTGGCTACCAACTCCACAATTGACGAACCTGGCTGGTATCATACACATACAGGAACGCAAGTGTCTCCCGGCCAACATCGCGGCCATCAGATACTACAGCAAAAGCATCGGATACCACCTCTACCACATAGCGGCTTTCGCAGTTACCAGCTCTACTAGTCATACAGCCCAGAGCGGCACGCGGCGCAAGCGAGCACAACATGATGCATTCTACGGCGGGGTCATAACGTTGGTCAAACATGGCCGGCCTACTGCCCCTTACCTCACACACAGCCAACGCACCATGCAATTTCTTTGTCTACAAATCCACGGCATCACCGACTACATGAACTTCTACCGTAACCCGGAAGACACAGACGAACACACAGACACACACACAAAATGCGGCAGCCCACGCATTCCTCGCTTTGGGACCTCGCAAGCACTACTGCATCGCATGCGAACACCTGACCTTACCTCTCCCACTGCAGTGACAACCGCAACGCACGATGCACTACAACGCATCGCTACATACTGTCGGTACACTCCAGCATTTAGGCCCAGGCATTCTAACTCACACCGCCAACCTACGCCACACAGTTTGAGCATGTTTGAGCACACCAAATGCGCTACCTCACCTACGACCAACACATAACCTCTAAACTGGTTCACACTTCAGTTCCGCAAGAGGACAGCTGGTCCATGCTTGCCTTGACAGCATGCCTCCAATCCGTGCTACACAGCGTCCCAACACACTGGCCACACACCAACACCTCTCTCTTTGTCGGTGCACGCATTCACCAGTCCCACAATACGTACCACAAGCGCATCTGGCAAACCACAACTCCACCCACCACCTCACTGAAGGCCAACATCGCCCAAGCCTGGCAGTCCGACACGACCGCAGCATCCACCTGGCACCATGACCTTTCTCACCTCGCCATCCGTAGCCCTCCGACCACCGCAACGCTGTCGCAGACGCGCCTCTGGACTACACTCCCACAAGCTCCGTGAAGCCTGGCGGGCTACGAAAAATTCTACACTTGGGCATCTTCCACCCGTGTCGATGGTAGAGAAGCACAACCACCTCCATACGACGAGAAGCGCGCACAAGCTGCGCGAAAAGCTGCGCAGGCAACTATACGGTATACGCACCATTTTAGCGTCATGACCGGAGGAGTCATTAGCAAGGCTCGCTACGCCGTTATGACTACCAAGGGACCACCCTCTGATGACTAACCCGAAGCTTGACGCACGCCTGTTGGCACTCCAATAGCAGACCGCCGCCAATCATCCATATCCCGACCGACCAACTTCAGAAGCGACTTGGTTGGCCCAGGGTAGCAATTTGACCACGAGTACAACAGTTCCGTTCTTAGTCACATGGGGACCACTCGTTGCTGCCTCCTACAAAGGAGATACTGCGACCCACAGCTGCCTGCAGCCACCCCCCAGCCATGACAGCTCTTACGATGCACGGTTCGCGCGCTGATGCCATCAGTTGCGGGCAGTCATGGCCTGTTGTGGGCGCATTTCATAGATATGTGGGGCTTTCTGTTTCTGGGGTCATCTGATGCTGGAGCAGGTCATTTGATAAACCTTATGTTGGTTCCAGACTATAATGTACCAATTTCGATGAATGTTTGAGAAATCATTTTATAAGCCTCATGGAGCCGGCACAGGTGATCATTTCAGAAACAGGCATGCTGGGGGAATGTCATTTCATGCATAAATCAGTTTTGTTTATGAAATGAATGTCCACAACTTGGTAAGGGGTACGGTATGTGTAGACTATATATTTGTTCAATTTCTCAGTGTCTTTTAATGCTGGTACAGTACATCTCTTGGCGATGCCTGCAAGCATCAGGTCAAGGAGGATGCGGCAGTTGCTGGGCATTCGCTGCAGCCGAGGTCATCGCCACTTGGTCACAAGGATGTTCACCAAGTGCCAAGAAGAAACTGTCCGGACGCTCCAGTAGAAGAGCAATCACAAACAGGGACCTGCAGATTCTATTCACACCTACTCACCAATTCAGATTCGCTGTTGTTTTCAGCCGACCCTTTTCGACACTTATCTTCTCTTCACGTGACGAAAGGGTTAGAGCTTACTAAGGAAAGCCACGTGGCGATCAAGACGGGCGTTCTTTTGTCCTTGTCTCCTCAGGTCGACTGTTTCAGTGTTCGATGATCCCGGAAAACCGAGGGCGGAGGGTCTGGAAAACGGCATGCTGTTCTTGCGCAATGTGGTATCCTCGTGATCCTGCAGCATCCGCCAGCCTCAGCCCGGTATGATGATGAGTCAAACCAAAATTAAAATCACCTGTTGAACTTATCAGCTGATTTTAACATGCATGGCCTGGCAAACAGTACTTGAGATGGTGATGGTCCTTCTTTTTATGTAGGCAAACTATTGCAAACTTGGGTTTGCGCAAAGGACTCCAGTATGTCGTGTGTTGCTGAGGTTTTGTCTTTCGTTCCCCAAACCTATACACAGGGCAAGGCAAACTCTGTGGCCTGTAACAATCAGTAGATTTGACGCCTGAGCCGGCACGCCAGGAGCTCACCTCTTGCACTCCGAATCCCAGAAGATGTGGCGGCACTGGCGGCTGCGCGGGTGCAATGAGCCAGTTGGCCTTCGACTACATCAAGCAGCAAGGTGCGCATGGGGCATCTTTCTGCCAACACCAGCGGTGTGGGGTTTTAGGCGTTTGGGCCATTTGGGTGCATCTTGCAACGAACGCGCTGTGGAGCGAACCAACCATGGCATCAACAAATTGTGAATTCGTCAATATCTACTATGTGTAGTGTGATATTGCAAGAAGAAGTTCACGGTGTTGGGCAGTTTATGCCTAGCAAAGCCGTGGGAAATTTGTTTTTGGCGGACAGAGTGTAGTGAGGCTGCATGCATATTGCATATACACTTTTTTGGGGGGAAGTCTAACAGTCTAACAGGAAGTAAGACTTCTGATGAAATCTGTTTCTTCCACCACCTTCAGGGATTTGCCCCTCTGGGAAGCGAACCGACTGCTCCGGACCCGACAGGACCAGGGTTTGGTAAGGTCAGGTTTTGAGACTGGACCTTTTCCAGTGCTGACTTACTTATAGTTATTTGGACCCCCATGCAAAAGACATCCTGGGTGCCAGTGCCATCTACTCTGAAAACCAAGGTCAGCAGGTTTCATGAGGTTTCCAAGGCGGACATTCTTAGTTGTTTGGTCTTTAAGTTGGGAAACTCAGGGCAAGCCAGGCAATCCTGATGGCACAATCAAGCCTGAACACGGTGAACCTCCGCTAGTGGGTGCTGGTCTACCTGTGTGGAGCTTTTGGTGTCCACACCCACTTGTAGTACCCATTTTGCATGACTTTGCCTACCCAACACGAAGATCAAGGATATCTCGTGGACATCTAGACATCCAGTTCGATGGCAGGCACATAGAACGAACGGATCTATCGTGAGCTCCAGGTGGTGTCTCAGACATCTGGCAATATCCTTACCTTAGTGGCACCAAGTACGCCAGCCTGGAGTGCCACTCAGTTGCGCCGGTGTGCATGGGACATGATGTTGGTGTGGGGCTTCCAAGGTTTCAGCTTTCAGGTTCGGGGACGGGTGTATTTTGGGGATGAGTCCAAGCTAAAGGCTCGACGGTTGTTCTTGGTTTTTGTTTGGTTTTGTGGGAGAAGTCGATATGGGAAGATCTCCAACTCAGCACATGTTCAACCCGACTCCTGGGAAAGCGCACTTTTGTGTCGGAGCAGCAACAAAAACATCGTACCGGACAGGACTTTCACACGGATATTCTGCTGTGACAGGCCGGAGGAGACAAAACTCATGTCAGGCCTAGTTTTGTCTCCTCACCATGACATCCTCACCAGACATGTCTCCTTTGCTATCCTCACTGATTGTGACATCCATCTGTCCAAGACTAGTCCCGCCTTGGTCCACCGCCTGACCAGTCCATCCCATGCTTTGGGGGATAACAGAAGGGCAACCATAAGGCAAGCCGGGCAAGCATGTAGTTAAAACACCTCTGCTGGCTGTCCTAATAGGGAGGAGAAAGGGGACAACAAGCAACCCAGCAGGCCATCAGAATCTCCACCCACCTTCCCAAGCCGCAGACAGTCTCCCAGCCAGCGCCAGCGCCCGACCGCGGCCTCTTTTGTCAGGCGAGGCCTTCAACGGCACCGTCTACTGGCCGCCCAAGGCCAGCATCACTGGGCATGTGGATGTCCTGAAGAACGACGCGCAGGACGGGACAAACACTCGTTTTTGTTGCGAAGCTTCCAGAGTCGGGTGTGAGTCTGGGTGCTGGAGGCATGCATGGATATGCATGGGGTATGCGGGTTTTAAGTCGTTTGATGAGGTGAAGTGTGTGTGTGTATATATATATAGTCATATAATATGGTTGTAGCATGACGTTTAGCGTGCCGTCTCGTTTCTTATGCTTTCTTGTTTTTTTTTGTCGCGTTTCAAGTGTATTTGAGGACGCATACGCTCATCGCTCTCTTGCTTAGCCTCAATGTTGCACAATGCACTTCATACCAGAGTGGCCTACCTCCCTACTTCGGTTGGGGTGGGGTGGGGCCCGGGGTGGGGTGTTAACGTTCGCCTGATGGATAACAAGAGCTGGGAATCTCATGCCAAGTTTCTGGGACCCCGCATTCCAAGGTATGTCGCCAAAACAATGAGTGGACTAAGAAGATTCCCAGGGGTAGAAACAAAAGACTTCTACTGTGGCTGGCACACAGACTGCTGATGGTGGGTGGCAAAGTCTGAGAAAATCTATTCCACAGTCATTTCCTAGAAGAATTGGCCATGTTCATGGAATCAAAGAACATGTAAGTTGGTCATGCAGTACATGTGGCGCAGATTCCTTGGACCGTGCACGGCAAACGAACTTTATTTTTCTTCTGAGCTTTGCAAGGTGGCCAAGGAGAAGTGCTGAAAGAGTTTGTACAATCTAAATAAGAATTGGACGATGGCGATGCCCCAAAAATAGTCTGAACATTTGGGACACGTAGATGTTCAGTGCTTGCATGTAAACATGTGCACGGCGCTACAGCGCCACAGCGCCATTGACCTTTTCAACATGTGCATGATTAGTTTGCGCTACGGCCGCTACGGCGCAGTAAGGGTCGGGAACCATGTAGTTTCTGTTAGTTGCGCTATGTTTCTCTTCGTTTAAGTGGTTCAGTGCCCATTCGGCCCACTGGGGCAGGCGTTGATGGAGGCCGTGCAGTTGGGCCCTGTGACGGTCTCAGTGGACGCCAGCGACTGGTGGCTCTACCATGGAGGCGCCGGGTCGACGACCAGACGACCGGGTCGACGCATGGCTCCGGCCGGGACTGGATGGAGGGATGGAAGGCCCAAACATGGCCGAATCAACTGAGAGTCAGTTGCCATGTTTCATCGGAATTCAGGAGCTTTGCCAGTGGTGTCAGTTGGCCGGTGCCCAGGTATTTTCGACGGCTGCAACAAGACACATCCTGACATCAGTCACGCAGTCGTCCTCGATGGCTACGGTGAAGAGACGCATGGCATTCGTCTCTTTTCTCCGACGCCCATGTTAGCAGTTGGTATTCACATGTATGTACCATCCTCCTGCTATATGTCCTTTGATAGATAAATTATTATGATTGTATTCATGATAATTGTAAGAAAACATAGTTTTCCGCATGTGGTTGAAGCTAGCTAGATTGGAATCCCGGAAGTTCTTGAATTTTACAGGTGGATGCTGGAATCGGGTTCTTTATATATACACTCTGATGGACGCTGATGGGTACAGAGCTGCACTCTCAAAATCTCTCAAACAATACCTCCGGACTCCAAAAGCATCGATAAAGCAAATACCACGTGAATAAGAACAACTTGTATTCCTCACAAACTCTGGAGCAGGGCTCTTGTGAGCTTAACTTGATTCAGCCTAAAAAGAGGCTGAAGAAGAAAACTCGTTGGGAACACCCACAACGGCTCGAGGTCCCATGCGTGCGTCACTTGTATTCCGCACGGTGACGCACCCATGGCTCTAGTTTGGGACGCACATAAACACACATGTTGGTTCCAAAAAACATGCTTTTATACCCAAGGCGTTAAAAGGTTCAGGAAAAGTTCCTACAGATGGTGAATACCTCAACACAGCGCCGTCACTGCAGCGAAAAAGCTTGGGTCATTGTTTTATATGTCTTGACGATCGTCGCTTTCAACCAAGGAAGGATGAAAAAGGCCAACATGTCAAGTATTGGCTGATCAGAAATAGCTGGGGAACTATGTTTGGAGAGAATGGTTGCTTGGCTGTCAGGGTGTCAGAGCCATCAATGCTGCTATTCGAGGTGAGGTGGCCCGTTGTCAGGATTGTGTCGGAGAATCCCTTGTGCTGACAGAGTAGAATTTTGCACATGGGTCGAAACTGACAGTGAATTTGTGTGTGTGCGTGTGTGGGTGTGTTGCACACTGCCAAAAAGTAGCAACTCGTGCACAGCTTGGTCTGACACAGAGAGGAGACGCAGGTAACATCAAGGAAAAAACTCCACAAGGAAATTACTATCTATAGACATAATTTTCCTACGAGGGGCAGCAAGAGCTTTATGATTCTTGCTCGTGTCTCAGACAAATAGCCTTAAAAAAACCTCTACATTCCATCCAAACATGAGTCTGATATCGCGACGACCGACCCCAAGGTCAGGCACAGACCCGCGCCATGAAAAGCAGCAACACATGCCACCGCTCAAGCAGCAAAAGCCGTCCGGGGGGTGTGGTTGAGAGACGCCCCTGGTTCCCGGGTAGACTCTATGTTCCGAACCTTCAAGTGTCGAATGGGGGCCGGTCTCCCTATTCAACAACACCCACATGCGGAGGCTACATCCGTGGGTTTTTTCGCGAGGCTACATCCGTTTACGGCGCTATGATGATGAGCCCTGCGGCTATGATCCACATCCCTTGCAAGGCACAGCGTGTGAGGCACGACCCAGAGGATCTGGGCGGGGCGGGCGTTTGTGGGAAAGGTTCACCTGGAGAGGAGGTTCGAGCCAAAGCAGTTAAATATCTGTCAGATGAAGGGAACAGTAGCAAGTTGGGAGGTATACTTTAAGGTTCTTTGGCTGATCTTGTATTTACGCCCTGCTGCATTGATGCCTAAGTAGTTGTCGTCAATTGAACCACTTGACCAGCAGTTTTACTCCTTCCCTCAAACACCCTGCACAGTGGTGGGGCTTGCTGGGGACAGAGCACACCATGACTCCCTAGCTCGACCTGCAAATCGAGCTCGGCGTCCAACGGAGCCGGAGGAGTGACCGAAGTCCGCTCCGTGGGGATTTGGCGTGACCGACAGTCCGAATGTTCCACTTGAATTGAATTTTGTAAGTTTTGGGGGTACTTACACAGACCTCTTGGTCATGTACACCCACTAGAAAAAACATAGGTGGGTGGTAACTATAGAGACTGTCTCAGACCAGCTCCAACGCCCAAGACACACAAATCCAGGGAGGTGTGAGAATTCTGAGGAAAAAGCTATTGACAAGCCATTATTTTTCCAGAGGAATCCGTTAGAATGACTACACAGCTGAAAGCTTACAGGCAGTCAGACATAGAAAAATTGAAATGCATCACCGAACGCCGTGCACACCCGCAGGTGGGTGGCCCTGAGAAGGTCTACGCCTGTGGAGAATGTGGTGTGCCTTTGGCGCCCAAAGAGTTTGTGCGGATGTAGGAGTTTGTCATCGACATGGATGTTTATTTTTGAGGCAAAGATGGCAAAGCAACCAACTGCTTGGGAACTTCGTGTGTTTGATATGTTTGGTGTTTTGATGTCTTGACAGGAAGAAACATCCTTTTGGAAGCTGATTTGTTCACTCAACAAGCTCGTCATGTTGCTCACCACCGGACACATGTTTGGGTCACGGGTCAACACGCGCGCTCATGTTCAGATGAAACCCTTGACTCGACCATATATATGATTTGACAGAAGTAGGTGTGTGTGTGTGTGCTGCCTCAGGGAAGGCTTAGGTTCACATTTTGGTGGGAAAGAAGTGAGGGGCACCAGTGGCAAAGAAGTGTCCAATTCCAATGATATCAGCAACGGACTCATCAGAAGATTTGTGGAGGGCTTGCCCTCTTTTTGTGCGACAGCAGGGGAGGAACATTGGGCAGAAACATTCAGAGCTCGAATTCCCCGAAGATTTCTACATGGGTCAACCAAATGCACACTCCGAAATGGAAAGCATTCTGTTTGGCGCTCTTTCCCATCGTCATACCATCCTCGCTATGCCCTTGTCAGACCATCGTGTTCGTTGCATTTCACTCGACGTTGGGGACGACCACTTTCTCCAGCACTCGACGTTGGGTATGGAACGTTGACATACCTTGGGGATCCTTGGGGTGGTTTCAGGGGTGAATGGCCATACGAGTGTTTGGACTACCCAGTGTGTCTGGAGGTTCCGAGGTCATTTTCTGAAACAAGCCAGGTGCTGGCGGACTCTAGCTATCCCTTGGGCGCTGCGCTGGGAAGACGAGGTGCGCATCCGATGCTTTTTACAATGTTTATGACCAAGTTTCGCAGCTGATTATCAAAGCCTTACGTGGAGAATGTGTAGCACTCGATGGTTGAACCGTTGAGTTGTTTGAGGCGGTCAGGGTGTGAGATTCTGTGAGATCCTTGGTGATGGGTGAGGTGTTCATGTTTCTTTCTGCTTTGGAAAGCATGCATTGTTTGACTCTTTTGGGTCATTGTATAGCTAGCTAGCACATGTTGGATAGTGGGTACTTCAAGACAGGTGCTAGGGCAAAATCTGACGTTTCATATCTTAAGTCATTAGTCAGACCGTCAGACCACAATGTTTTGCCCCAAACGATGCGAGCTTGCAGGGCAAAACTTAGATGTGGATTACTGAGTGATGTGGACGCAACAATCCTTCTGAAATCCTCTCCTGCGCAACAAATGCGCAGTTGCTGTTGAAGCAGGACATCCTTGCCAAGTTCAGGTCCAGGATTTTTGGACATGCGGTGAAATGCTGATTTCGGATGATTCCCAAGACGACAAGCACTTCTTGACATGCCCTGGAAGGGCTCATTCCAGGTCGGCAGGATTCCTCTTCAGCCGCTGCGAATTTTCGACCGAAGCCCAGCAGTGGCTTGCGGTCAACCGGATGGTGAGTGGTGACCTTGTGACGTGGTGACCTGCCGAGGTCCCGTGGAGCCTCCTGGGTCGGCTGAGGTGTTTGTGGGAGCCCTTTTGGGTCTTCTCATCCCGGGTCTCCAACGGCAAAGCAATTGGAAGTGGTAGAAGGGACTGGCCGAAAACCGAAATGACGATGTGATCAAGTTGACACTGGAACATGTTCAGTCAGATTGTTCAGTCAGCATGGTCTAATATATTGGATGTGTGAAGGCTAGGCACATGCCCATGTCAGGCACATGCCCACGTCCTTTTCGGAATCGTTGGGGTCACTAGAGACTGAAGACCATTCTTTCCATGTCTTCATTGAATCTGGAGGAAGGGAGGTACCTTTTACACAAGAAGATGCAGGCAAGAAGGACGCCGGATGAGTAGGTCAAATTTACCATCCAAGTCATTAATTACGATGCTTTTGAACAGCAGCACAGACTGCGAAGAGAGACTTGACCCGGCTGTGCGCAGTGCGCTGACGAAATCCGATTACGAAGTGGACTTTGTCATGACCCTTAGTATGGTATTATATACCCTTGAATGTGTTCAATATTGTTCAAAGGCACAACAACCTGTTACTCAGGCTCACCCCATATTGAGGTAATGAAGCAACTTTGAGATATATCATAACTTGATTTTGAAGAACGTGTTACCTTCCCCAGTTAAGTAAAACTGGGCAACAAACTTGTGCATGAGTTGCGCGCCACTTTTGCTTGGTACTGGTCCAATATCGCTTCTTATTTACGTTGCAGAAACTGTCCAACGAAGTCAGAAACCGTTCGTCCGAAAGTCCATTCGTCCAAAACTGCGACACATCGTGACACGTCCTCGGTTCCCATTTCGAGCGACACGAACGAGCGAAACCCGGTGAGCCGGCAACAGCCGGCAACAGCTGTTTTTTTTTTGCTGTTTAAATATTTTGCTTTTTAAGTATCCCAGACACACTCCATGGGACTGGCATATTTACCTATACGACTTATACCTTCACCCCTGAAACCGTCCCAATGTATATACTATAAGTTATATATACTTATATATATGTTTCATGCATGGAGTGTTTGGGTAGGGCGTGTCGGGTGTGTGTCCCATTACCAGTCGGTAAAATATTATCACTCTTTTGGGGAAGGGTCTACAGTAAAGCATCATCCACTGTTACTGGCAACTGTTACTGGCAATGGGATAAATACCCACTATATAACAATAATTATATCTTCTACATCGTTCGAGTTGCTTCTATAGAGTTTTTTTGTTTTTGTTTTTTTTCACGCGTCTTTCCTGTACTAGAAATATGACAAATCTGGAGCACAGGCTGCATATCAGGCGCAGAGTCATTGGGTCTTGTGCGAGAGTGGCCTGAATTCAGACTGTACAGGGCAGGCTGCTGAGTTTGATGTCCTCACATGTCCCGACTCGAGACCCAAGAGGCCTGAGGCCCGGACCCATTGAGGTCCTACAGAAGCCGGATAGAAAGTTGTTCCAGTGCAGAAAATATACTTTTCGATCCGTCCTGGGGTCGGAGACCCTGGTCTAGTTCAACATACTTGTACCTTTCAACTGCCAAGGGTCTTGCTCGTCCTTTCAAACCTTTTGGAGGTCCGGGGCCTTCACAGTCAGTCTGTAGAAAGAGCTGAAACACTTACTGTACGTGGCTGTGTGAGAAGTCTGACAGGGCAGTGTTTCAACCTCTGCAACAAGTTTTTGTGGTCCCAAGACCGGTGTCGTCGTTCGACCAGCTCTCACACAACCTCTGACCCTATAGTGGTGTGGTTTTGGGGCGCTCCGAAACACGGTTCGATGAGAGTTGAATGTATTTTTCTTGGCTTCTTTTCGATATATTTTCTGGTTTTATATTGAAGGTATACATGTCATATAAATTCCACCCGTGTTCGAAACAATTGTTGAATTGAAGCGGGTTTCCAACTGAGCAATAGGGATTCAGAGTCCATGCAAGACAACTTGATGAATCTGATTATAGAACATATTTTGGGCTGTAGAAGCAGGTACATATAGTTGCATAGCAGCTACAATATCCACTGACTGGCTCTGAGCTGCAAGCTCAGCACTCCGTTGCCTGACCTGGAGGAGGACACAGACTTTGGCGGTTCTAGGACCAGTTTCCCAGGGCACCGACACATGGCCGTCGTTTTGTGGCCAAGCGTAACCGTTCTGGGTAGCAGCTACGGTGCGGTGCTTTAAGTGGGCAGACCCTCGCGCCGAACGTGCCCACTGAACCCTGTGTAAACGGAGTGTCGTTGGCACACCATGTGGAGAGAGCATCCTTTTGGAGGCATCGGACGAACCACCGATGTGGGAAGCACCCATGGAAAGCCGATTCGTGACGGTTCAGTGCCGACCTTCGTCACTGTGAAGAAGGGAGTCGCGACCCACAACGCTTGGACAAATATAGAAAAGAAAGCCGACCGCAATAGCCGAGACTATTCGAGACTCAAAGCAGGAAAGCACTCCAAGATACTCCAAGACTCCCTGTTGGAAAGATGTCCTCACCTCATTCACAACTCTTCACCTAAGAGCGATGGCCTCCAACCTACTAGCGATGGCCTCCAACCTACTAGCGATGGCCTCCAACCTATGTAATAGCGATGGCCTCCATCCACTTGTTTCTCTTTTTGGGAGGGCATCTTCAACTCTTCACCGTGTGAGCTTCAACCCTTCACCGTTGACTTCCCGTCCCGGACGATGTTTCAGGTGCAGCAGCAGCGCCGTTGGGGCCCCGGTGATGGCGAGGATTGAGGTGGTCCCAATGAGGGCCAGTCAAACATAGCCCAATTGCCAAGCTTTTGGTATTGAAGCCTTATCAATACTATTCCTGGTTTCGGGGCTTCAAAGTAATTACTGATTTTGCCTAGGGACTGAAACTCTGAAAGTCTGTATTCAGATAAAATCATTGGCAGTTTGCTATGTGTTCTACAGTTTTTTGTGACGACGCACGCGCCGCACAACATTCAAAACGTGTGTTCTGCACACCTTGAAGGGTAGTGGTGGTAGTGAGTGTTTGAAACTACAATCTGGTTTGATTCTTCTGCCAAGATAGATATTTAGTGATATTCACTTTTAATGTTATTTATATATAATTATGTAATAAGATCGAATTTATTGCAGGCAATTTTGTTGTACAACAGGTCTCCCATCAGTCCCTTGTGTATCCTCATGTATCCCCAATGTGTATCCCCAATCATGCTACCAGGCTGTGCTCCAAAGGGCTGCTGACCTTGCAACAACCCAAACCATGTGTATGGGTTTGATCCGCCATGCGTGAGACAATCTCACGTTCGCATCCTTCGGTTCCCCCCCCCACCCACGCCGAAACGGTGCTCGGATCCACCCACCGGCGCAAGACCGCGGTGTTTGTTCGCACTCCGCCGGAGCGCTGGTGTGTCTGCCATGCTTCCAGAGGTCCTCATCACTTCTTTGTGATGCTTCAGACAGCCGTTGGGTTTGGCCATATGTCTGTATATCTATAGATATAATATCTATTGGGTTGGCTTCAGACGTCCGGAAAACGAAACAACAGCTCACGTTCCATCCGTTTCGACCAGCCCCCCTTGATCAGGTCATCGCCGGGTCAGGTGCGAGCCGGTCATCAACGGGCGGAGCTGTGGCATTTACGTGGCATTTGCTTAAGTGAGGTACACAAAGGATCTCAAAGGTATGTGGTTCTGGTGATTTATTGTGTGCCACTGCTTTATTTTCCAGTTTCTATATATAGGTTTTATAACTTACTTGGCCCTTTGCGATCTGGAAAGCTCAGAAGTGAACATAGAAGTGAATTCAGAAAGCACACCATTTGTAATTTGGAAGTTTCAATCTTCACTCTCCTTGAACCTCAGACTTCACTCTCCTTGGACTGGTCCTTTCGCTCGGAATGAGCTGCTTTTCGGAGCTTGACCGCCTCGGCAAGCGTCGCCAGGAGAACGAACATCAAGGCGGTGTCCATCTCAGACATCGGGGCGACACGGGGGCGACACGGGGCCGAAACAACGAAGGCCGCGCCGCGAGCGGTCGCCACATGGGCGGCCAGGCCTGGACATCCGGCCAGACCCCCGGGCCTTTTTCGTTTGGGCAAACAGAGATTCCTTCTTTTCGCTCGCGGAAGGCGCGAAGTCGAAACCCACGAGAAAGAGAAGCCCCCTTCTGTGTTTGTGGCCACAGAAGTCCAGTTCAACAACCGATTCAATCACAACCTACAGAAGTGCAGTTTGGCTATATTTGGCACCGCGCGAAGTAAAGGAGATTCCTCAACTCGGGTCACCGAGTCAGGCCATTCTCAAGTAGTCTTGGGCTCCCAGGATGTGTTAGAGTAACGTATGCCATTGAAAGCATGCATGTTCTCTTCCTTTGACAGCGGACATCTGACCTTGTCACAAGGGCGTGCCGAATCGCAGTGGATGAACTGAGGTGGCCAAGTGCAGGCAGAGGGGGGTTGGTCTCTAAAGTTCTAAAGCGATGTAAATAACCACAAGGATCACCAAAGGGAGTGGGTGTGGTTTTATGGTGTGATGGTGTCGTAAAGAAGACGGTACTCGACGCTATTCACGTGTCTGCCATTCCTTTATAGCGGAAACGGGTACGTGGAAATGTCGATGTTGGTGTGGCAAAACTCTGACTCATGGGAGTGGTCCCCAAATATTTAGATGGACATGTTTTCAGTTTCATGAGTTATGGAATTACTCCTTTTGTTTCTCGTACTGTTTCTATTTGCGGTTTAATTTGGGGTGGAACCTCCTCTTGCTTCATTGGCTGTCGCCATCCAGGTAGATGCTAAGCTCTTTCAATTTGCTGAAGACTTGGGGAAAACGCAGGAGTTGCTCCGTGCAGCGCAAGCCGCGGCCTTTGCATCTGCGTCTGCTCATATGCAGGAGGACAGAAATCAGCGCGTGATGAATGCCTTTGCCATCCTTAATGATTTTGTGATCCAAAACAACTCTTCTAGCATCACAAGGGCCGGTTTTTGGGACAGTTTTCCGGTACGGCACACCCCTTGAACCACTGGAGTGATCAGTCACACCCAGTTGGTGGTGACCTCTACCTGGCTCAGGCTCAAGATCTTCGATTGTTACGCCCGTGTGCGTTCACAGCGATTTTCGAGCGGGTCGACTGTGCGAGCAATGGCGACCAACGCGCCTTTGTTGGGCAACCAAAGCAAGAAAGGTGGCCATTCAAAGGCGTCGATCTTCTACGGGGCCGATGAGTACTTGGAAGAGCTCAAAAAGAAGTATCATGGTTGAGTCATTCATTGAATTTGTGCAGTATAGCTCCACGACCCAGGGCCTACGGAAAATAATTGTGGCAAATGGTCCTTCTACAAGTAAGTGTTTATATGTCAGTGTAGTATTCTCTTTCTGGCCATTACCCAATTTCTGTTGGCATCAAGCTCTTTTTCTTGTGCGTTGAGCCTCCCAAAGATCCTGCTTACTCTGGAAGTTGGCACGCTTGGTTGGGCGGCATTTTCACGGCAATCCATGTAATCAAAAACGAAAGCTCAATGCATTTTGGAGGACTCGGACCTCCACAGCAGCAGCGCCAAAAACCGAAGATAGGTTAATGCACGATGCCTTTGCGAAAGGTAATGACACACCTAGTTTCGCAAAGGATTTCACAATAGATTTCCCGATCTGTTCGTGCGTGAAAGCTCGCAAAAAGCGTTGCGAAACAAACTTGTCTGAACCACGATGCAAGAGAAACCATTCTCAGTGAACAACACTCACATGAAGATCTGAAGATCCAATGGATCAAACCAATCCTTTTTTGGTGGGACTGGGGACGCTGGGTTTTGGCCACCGCTTTGCCAGGTATGCCCATGACCATGAGATTGCGGCCATGAAGAACCTGCTGCCGGGTGAGGCGGATCCCAATGCAGCAGGTGTCGCCCAGAGCCAGGATAAGATGCTGAAGGTGCAGTTCGGAACGGACCTGGTTTTTATCTGGTTTTGATGGGATGAGGGGTAGAACCATTAGAACCAGTAGGAACTGTCTTTATTGAAGTGGATTAAGTGGTAAGGATCACGTGGGGCAGGTACTTTAAAAAAACAAAAACCTTTTGGGTCACTGGATGTTTGGGGAACCAACATGATACAAAAAGGTGGGTTTAGGGTTTAGGGTGGAATCCAGTGTACATTGATTGAAATCTGTAAGATATTGTTTAGGAGTTTAGGCCTCATCAAATGGTCCACCAAATAGAGCTGCCACTCTGGTAATATTTAGCAGAGCCTTTTCTTCAGCGAAGTTTTGTACATGTACACTTCAAACATGCAAAAAGCCCGTGGAGATCGCATTGACTTCACTTCACTTGTCGCCGCCACATTGTCCTTTTGAAGACTTCAGGTGGAGAAGGACAACGAGAACCGGAGCTTGATCACCAAACGTTTGTTCCCCACGGCCAACAAGCCGGATCCCATGCCTCAAAACTTGGCGTTCCTCTTCACCAAGATTACGCCCGAGCAGATGATGTACATGTGGAACGTCTTGACAGCCATCTTCGTGGGCCAGGTGCTGGGATCATGAAGGATCTTCGTTTGACACACCCCAGATCATCCATGTATGGAATATCTACACTTTCCCATATGTTCCCCATTTATGACCCCAATGTCAGTATACTATACATGGATGTTCTGGGTACTGTTGGTGGACTTGATGGAGTTTCCTCCTGCACCCACGGTCGGGTCATGTAAGAAAACCTGCGGGCCTCCAGGCCTCCACGGTTGGTGCGATGGCTCTCAGGAGAGGTGCAGCCATCGCTACTAGGGTGGAGGCCATCGCTCTTAGATTCCTTTGCTATTAGGTTACAAAACGCTTTAGCATTGAAGGAAGAACTCCCCAAACCTGGCACGGCTGCCAGGGGGGCATTCCAGTCCACAGGGTGAATCCGTGTGAACACAAGTCATTTGATGGAATCTGTCCATGAAAGTGGAGTGTCTCATGCGTTCATCATTCATCATGCCAATTTCTGGAGCTGAACATCTCATGAACTTTTCTTCACCAACTCATTGGCTTAACGAGGCCCATTCTGACATGGGCTTAACGTAAGCCTTAATTGATTATTATCCTATACTGTATGTCATCACTTTTGCCCCGTGGCACTGACAGAAAGGCTGTGGCATGCACGTCACACACCAAGGGGTAAGCATGCACTGATTTACAGAATCAAGTACCTCATCCTCAAGTGGCACCTACACGAGGCTACATCCCACATGCTTAATTTTGTTTGTTGCCAACTGGGCCCGGCTCAAATAAAAGAGATAAAGAGACTCTAAAGAGACCCAGAACTTCCAGAATCCGGAGGGGAACGTGTAGACAGGTTCCTTTTGCTATACGTCTTTTGGGTCTATGACACCCGTTTTTTGGAGCCAGTTGACCTACAGGTGTTGATGGTCATCGCTTATTGCGGTGCCTTGGCGACGTTGCCCGATTACTGGTGGACTTGTACTCTGCTCTTCGGGATCCCGTTCTCCTACATTGCGATTCAGAATATTTATATCGACCATGACGTGACCCTGCTGCAATAGGAAACACATGAACAAAAACACATAACGTATTGATTCCTCTTAGAACAGGCTGCTAAAGAAGGCTTAAGGAAGCATTGAAGCTTCTGGGCATTGGACAGACTTGCTTCTTTCACAGTGCTCTTGTCAATCAGTGTGTCAGGTGTGCGACTTATGCGAGTTATGGCCATATACATTCATGTGCTCATTGGGTTACGTCCAAACTGTTGAGATGTTCACCGAATTACAATGGAAACACGGGGCACTGTATAGTAAGACACTGTACACTGTATAGTTAATCAATAGATTTTCAGGACCTGATTGCCTTGACATTTACCGCAGTCACCAACCGGTTTGTCAGTCACAGAAGCTGTGCCCCTGCAGAACACAGAAGTTGATTGAACAGATTTGGACAGTAATTCTTTCGCTTTTCGGATGTGGAAACCCTGTGAGCTGTGGGTGATCCTGGTCACCAGGTGGTGCTTCCCATTTGTGACCGATGCAGGTGATGCATGGCGCAACATTCCCGGTGCATCTCGGCGAGAGTCGGGGGCGAGATGTGGCAGTTGCTGCGGTGGCGGATTGGATTCAAGTCTTTGGAGCGATCTCAGATCCGAAGATCATAGAAAAATCATTTAAAGAGCATCCTCTGGTGGAGTAGATGTTTTGTTCTTTTTCTCACCTGGTATCCCAACATTGAACCAACATATATATATATATATTATATACACACACCCTCCCTCCTTCGAATGCCTGTGATTGCTTGGGGATTGCTTCGACATCACCTGTGTGTGAATCGCTCGTTCGAGCTTCAGATGTGTGTTTCAGACGCCAGGTACGACTGGCAAAAGTTCTTGACCCATCCTTTTGCCGACTTCTTCTCCTTGCCTTGGGAAGAATTTGTTTTGGAGCACAACCGCCACCATGCCAGCACGGTGGACCTGTTGATCCAGGGCGAGTTTGGCTGGGATCCGGAGGAGGGAACCGGGACGGTGGGACACCGGCATCGACCGTGTCTCCGAAACCGGGAGGTCGGTCGACGGGTCGGTCGTCGGGTCGGCATCGAGAGTGTCTTCCGAATCTGGGGAATCTTTAGTGACGGGAGTGAAAGCATGGACCGGATGTGAAATGGTCCAGATGATATATATATATGTTTATATGTGTTTTTGCTATTTCAAAATATGCTGGGGCTGTCAGCACTGACATCCAGCAGCTCTCGGTGCTTTCATGATCATACAGTGCTTTTCTGCGGTTCTCACATATTTTGGTGGGATTCACTGGATTGATGGCTGTATGGACTATGTGGCTAAGCAACGCAGCCATGTTGTTGCACATGCCTTGCCCATGCGGCAACATGGCAGCATTATTCAGATCCAGGTTTCTTTCCTTCATCAATTTTCACATGATGTTCTTGGTGATACCTCCCCCTCGATGCAGACCACTTGATCTGAAGAATCATTTGTTGCGATCTCTCATCATGTTGTTTCCCTCAGGATGAATCCTATAAGATTCGGTGGTTGGGGATGTGAACTGGGTCGGTTTAGAAGTTTAGAGGATGTAGTTGGATCCACAAGGTTTCACTGGGTCGGTTTGCAAACGGCAGGAGTTCCACTACGCCTTGCAGCAGTGGGCAGGACCCTTCAGCACCAACTGGTTCAAGTAGCTTGTCAGCCAACGAAGGTGTTTCTTGTTCACGGTAAGGGTTCGTCCGTTCTGTTTATTTGCGTATGTTTGCGTCATTATGTTTGTGTCTGCCAGACCCCTTTATTCTAGAAGTTTAAAAAAGCAAAACAAAAAGCAATCACAAAATGCTACCAGAAAAACAAAAGCAATCACCAAAGCAAAAAAAGAGCAAAACAAAGCAACCCCAAAATGCAACCAGAAAAACAAAAGCAATCATAAAAGCAAAAAAACAAGCAAACAAAATTGCAAGCAAAAATGGAACAACTCAGCCGGGCTTTCTGGCGCACTTTTTGGAAGGGTCCACGCTCAGCCGGGCTTTCTGGCGCACTTTTTGGAAGGGTCCACGCTCTGGCGCGCTTTCTGGCGCACTTTTGAGGGAGGGTCCACGCTCTGGCGCGCTTTCTGGCGCACTTTTGAGGGAGGGTCCACTTTCTGGCGCACTTTCTGGCGCACTTTTGGGGGAGGGTCCACTTTCTGGCGCACTTTCTGATGCACTTTTGGGGGAGGGTCCACTTTCTGGTGCACTATTGCTCGCTTTTTTTCCAATTTTTTCCGGCGCCGGGTAAAAAGTCGCACTTTTGGGTCGCTTTTTTTTTCGCATTTTTTTCGAAAAAAAAAGCCAAAAAAGAACGAAAAAAGGCGAAAAAAGAGCGACCCAAAAGTCCGACTTTTTACCCGGCCCCGGAACCCAGTGTGAAAAAAAGCGACCAAAAGTGCGACTTCTGACCCGGCGCCGGAAAAAAGGCGACCAAAAGTGCGACATTTGACGCGGCACCAGAAAAGAAGCGACCAAAAGCGCGACACTTGACCCGGCACCAGAAAAGACCCTTGTCCAGTACTAACCCTACCCGGCCCCTCCAAACTACCCTCTATGTGTTGCTTGTTATTTTTTTGGTTGCCTTTTTATTGCCTTTTTTTGCTTTCTTGGTTGCTTTTTGTTTTGCTGGTGCTTTTTTGGT